TAGCTGGGATTACAGGCGCCTGCCACCATGCCCAGCTAATTTTTTATTTTTTATTTTTTTAGTAGAGACAGGGTTTCACTATGTTGACTAGGCTGGTCTCAAACTCCAGACCTCGTGATCCACCCACGTCGGCCAAGTGCTGGGATTACAGGCGTCAGCCACTGCGCCCAGCCTCACTCTCCTCAAGTTTTAGTATAAGCAATCACAAGGAACCAGGCTACTATTTCAGTAATTTGCTTACTTGTTTCCTCAGCCAAATATCCAGAGTTATTGATTACATATTTTATTTTTCACAAAGCAACAGGACATGAACACAACCAGTCTTTGCCACTTTGTAACTAAGTTTGTTTTTCCTCCATTGTCCGATAACATATTCTTGATTTCCATTTTAGACTTTATTAGAATGACCTGTACGTTCTATAATTTTACCAATATTCAGCTCAGAATCACTTAGGTATTAACTAAAAAGACTGAGGCATTGTCCACAGCTCACCTCCCCCTGAGCTTTCATCTGAATATCCGTTAATGGTCCATTCACAGCAAAATAGGCTTTTTCTAGCATGCGCTTCACAACTTTTCAGCCTCTACCCATAACTGTATTCTAAATTTGCTGCAACATTTTTAGCTGTTTAACAGCACCCTCATTTCACAGCACTAATGTCTGTCTCAGTCCATGTGGACTGCTATAACATCATAAGCATCATAAACTGGGTGGCTTATAAACAATAGAAATTTGTTTCCTACAGTTTTGCAGGCTGAAAAGTCCAAGATCGAGGCACCAGCATATATGATGTCTGGTGAAAGGTGAAAAGGCTAATTCCTGGTTCATAGACAGCAATCTTCTGGCTATAAGCTCAAATGGCCGAAGAGGTGAGAGATCTCCCTGGAGCTTCTTTTAAAAAGACACTGCTGACTTCCCAAAGGCCCTCCTCCAAACACCATCAATCACATTGAGGGTTAGGTTTTAATATATAAATTTTAGAGGAGTACAAACATGTAGATTGTAGAAGCCTCTTTTTTCATCAGCTAATTGTTTTCCTCTTTGTTTAGGTCTCTGATTTTTATTGTAGATGTTTTTCATAGCTAGCCAGCAATCATTGGCTATTCATTCCTTTTAAATTTCCAGTTGGCTCCAGTTATACCTATAAACTTTATTCTAACCGAACCTGGTTGTTCATCTTATTGAGAAATCCTTAATCACTAGTTCCTCAAGTCTTTCTTAGAAGACTGATCAGGTTCCCAAAATATTTTTTTTCAACCTTTTGCTTGTTGCAGGTGCAGAGTGACAGTATATATTCAGCTGAACACATTTGAAATCCTAAAAGGTATAAATCTAGGGGCTTTCAACAGTTGTTATTATTAAACTTATTTAAGTATATGCTTACATCACTCTAAATCCAGGAAGGATTAGGTTTCCCTTAAAAAAAAAAAAAAAAGGCAAAGATTGCACTGTAAGCCATTTTTACCCAGAAGAGTTGCAGCTTCTAAAAGTTTACAAATATGCCATTGGTAGTACTTTGGAAAAGTTGATATCTATATATCAGGGAGAGCACATATACTAGTAATTTAAGAAGTCGGAGGTATTTGTTTAAGACTAATATCACAAAGTCATTAGTTTAGACAACATGAAAAAGAGCCAGATCATAAGAATATCTGAAATAAAATTAGGATTGAATGAGGATGTATTTGGGACCGGACGGAGGGGTGTTTTAGGAAAGGAATGTTGAGAGGCATGATGGTTTTTGACAAGTGGTATAAACTTTAATGCCCAGCTGGTTTCCCATCAGATTCATCCACAAGCAGAACAGAAAGTGAAATTATCAGAGATTTCCTGACTCTTCCTGCCTACTTTCCATATTATGTATTGGTCTTTAACGCAGGAATAAAAGTAATTAAATTAATATAAGTACATGTAAGGTTAATAATTCAGTTACTTGATAAGCATTTTTGACTGCTATCAACATACCCTATTTCCTTAATTCTGAAACACTTCAGATTATAAAATACATTTAATGATTTTTTAGAGAAAAACTATTGCTGCCACATTTGATGTATATATTGATTTTAAAATCTCAATTTCGGAAACTAAAATAAGAAAACCTATGTTGGGAATAAGAGACTAATACCCCAAAATATGGCACTTTGACATAGTGAACTAAAGAAGGAGGCGCATGCTCTCTCTGACCTCACCACCTGCTTTCCCAACTACTGTCCCTCAATCCTCTATCTGTCCTGAAACACAGGAAGAAGTTGTTCTCTAATTTCCTTTATCTCCCTAAAGTTCGGACCTAACAAACAGAACGAATGTTTTTCTTTTGCTCCCTCTTGTTTTATTACCTATGACAGAAAAGAACATCAAGAATGTAACCACAACAGAACAGATTTTTTCATAAGATAATTTTTGTCTCTAAGGATCATTCAGATTTCAAGGAGCACTATTTACAAGTAACCCTCTGTTCCCTATCCATTCATGCTCCCTCGTAATCATGTATTGCCCCTCAATGGAATTCTTCTCCCCCTTGTCATAAAATATTTCCAACCGTAACTTCTTTTGTGAGGATCCAAGCCCCCATTCTTTCCATAAACTCAACATGGTATATAAGATTCTTAACCCCAGTGGGGAAAAGGGTAATCATTCTGTGGTTCTTTGCCATGTGCATGTTAATAGATTTGTAGACCAAAATTAAAATTCTAAGCCATCCAACTGACTGAATGGACCTCCATCTTGGCTAAGAGAACCCAAAGAAACCTAAAACACTATTTCAGGTCATGATGGGAAGGGAGGATCACATATGCCTCATTATATCCTCCGCCCTTCAGAGTTCAGGCACAACTCACCAGCATTAACATTAAAACAAAATAGGTTTTTTGTAGTAATAAGATACCAAATTTGAAACTAACTCTAGTATAACATCACATGACAGATAAAGAAGGAAATCAAAATATTTTACCCTCAAATATGAGTTTCTTTGCCATTTTTTTGAAATGGTCCTGCAAAGCAGTCTTTTTTAGAAGAAAATGTGCATCTGTAAAGAATCTCTATTAACATAACTAGATCTTTCCAGGGCCTCCCAATTCTGAATAGATTAAATGAGAGTCTAACAACTTTTAAAGGCCTGAATAGGAAACATTTGCCATCTATTGCCTGTAAGGGCAGCCAGCTATGAGACTTCTTCTACAAAATAAGAACCTTCAGCTCCAGACCCCTTATCTTAAACCATCTAATTCTCTTTATTGATTCTAGGTCTTTATATAATAATTAAACTGTTTCAATCAATTGCCAATCAGAAAATCTTTGAATGCACCTATGATCTTTATGCACCCCGCTTTGAGTTGTCCCACCTTTCCAAACTGAACCCATGTATACCACACACATAGTGATTGATGTCTTAAGTCCTCCTCAAACGTAAAATATAAAGCTGTAAACCAACCACCTTGGGCACATGTTCTCAGGTCTTCTTGAGACTGTGCCTCTGGCCATAGTCACTCATATTTAGCTCAGAATAAAACTCTTCTGGCTGGATGCAGTAGCTCATGCCTATAAACCCAGCACTTTGGAGGCCAAGGCAGGGGGGGATCATTTGATGTCAGGAGTTCGAGACTAACCTGGCTAACATGGTGAAACCCCATCTCTACTAAAAGTACAAAAATTAACTGAATGTTATGGCAGGTGCCTGTAATCTCATCTACTCAGGAGCCTAAGGTAGGAGAATCAGTTGAACCCGGGAGGCAGAAGTTGCAATGAGTCAAGATTGTGCCACTGTACCCCAGCCTGGGAGACAGAGCAAGACTCAAAAACAAAAAGTAGGTATGGTGGTGCATGCCTGTAATCCCAGCTACTGGGGAGGCTGAGACATGAGAATCACTTGAACCCGGGAGGCAGAGGTTGCAGTGAGCTGAGATCATGCCTCTGCACTTCTGCCTGGGTGACAGAATAAGAATCCATCTCAAAAAAAAAAAAAAAAAAAAAAAAACCTCTTTAAATATTTTACAGGGTTTGCCTTCTTTTATTTTTCCATGGACAGGTTTGTATGCCCTTTCTCCAATTCACCTGTCTTCTGTGAGTTTATTTTTCAGTAGGCCTTCAGAGAGTGATAAGAGTTTTTCCCTTGGCCCCTACACCTGGAACCTATCCTTGAGACACATAGAATTAAGCATTCATTTCTCTGCACTTGCAATTCAAGAATGTCTTCAAATAGAAATTAGCAAGTATGATTTCATCTCCATAAATAGTACTGCAAACATTGCCTCTAGAAAAAGGGCACTGTCAAGTCCTGCTCACAGAGTCAATCCATTCAAGCCAAAATCACAGGGTCTTGTGCTTGTCTAATAACTAAAAACAACTACAGAAGTAATTTAAAATGTTGTCCTGAAATTAAAAAATGTTATTTTATTTTCTCTAATTTGGAAAATACATGAATGATATTTGAATAGTGACATCTTAAACATCAGTGAATTTTTCTTCATTTGTCCGTATAAGGAAATTTGGCATTTCAAGTATGTCATTGAATTTAGATACGTGACAATGAGACCTAACAACTGGAAGGGTGTCATGCCAGGTCAGTCTTGAGCACTTTCTAACGATACTGGGGTGGTTGAGTAGGTAGGTGGAAGACTTTCACAGCTTTAAAATATCTCATGCATAGGAAGTGTTATTAAAGACCTATCTTAGATTTTAGTATGTATCCCCAGACAGCTTTCTGGATGAAGGGGTAGAAGAATATTCCTGGATCTTATTGTTCCTATCACAATTCCTGGGTTTATTTCTTTCAGTATATTGCAATTATATGATAGCTACAAACCCAATTTTAATGATTATTTGAGAAATGTGAAAACTTTAGCCATTTGCCAAACCACAGTATATTGTGGAATAAAATAAATTTTTCCTGAAAATCAATTCCACTGCATTAACTAAGTTATGATATCTGCACAGGGCATTTTGTTTTGTTTTATCTTGAGTTTTCTGAAAAGGGAGAAACCATGTAAAGCTAGGAAACCAGGAAACTATTTCCTGTTTCTATGTTCCATGCTTTAGGAGCCTTATCCATTAATTACACAATACAGTGATCAAAAGAAAACCAAATAACTGTACCTGATCAGCGTGACTTGCTCAGATATGTCATTCATTCTCTGGCTTTCATTGTTCAGGTCCCGAATCAGTCATTTGTTAGCAACAACTCTTACATATCTTCAAAGGCAATACTGCATAAGAAATAAGTAATACCACTCTGTGTATCTCATTGCAATTACATTTCTTATATGCAGTCCATCGACAGAATTGAGTAATTACAAGATAACATGTCTATTTCACAACCAACCATATCTATTTTTGCATATATCTACTCTATCTTTTTTATTATAAGAATTGGATATAAAAACAATTTCTTGCAAAAGCCAGTGAAACTACTTTTACTATCTACACAGAACTAGACTAGAAGTTATTTCAAGAGCAGACAGATGCTGGAATTGAGAATTTAGAGTCCATAACATCAACCCCCATAACATCTGGTACTTTTGAGAATAATTTTTATACACTTCTATTTTTTCCTGGTATTTTTTAAATCATTTATTTTTGGAATAAACCCATCATTAGTCTTATCCTCATCCTTTCTGATATGTTTTCATTTAACAGAGCTGCATTAACTCAAATATGTATTCATTTTATTCATTCACTCAACAGCTATTTATTTTATGCCTACTTTGTACATGACTTTGCCTTAGGCACTAAGGAAACCACAGATAAGATTCCTGTCCTCATGTGTTGTAAATTCTAGTGGATAAATAATTTTTAAAAAATCAGCTACAAGCATAATTATAATTAGGAAAGAAAAATGTAATTTTCTAGGAAACATGTAACAAAAGGATATCACCTAGTCAGAGAGATAGAGAATCAGGGATTCTTCCCTAAGAAGGTGATAGCATTGTTGGTCTCTCTTACTGGCACATGGAAGGTGTTTACTCAGATGAAAGACCTGTGCATCCTTATAGAATTACTAGTTTTGGAGAGGAATCAGACAAGAAAAAGAGAAGATATGCCTTAGTATATGCTCCTGGATTCATGTGACAGTGGTGGGTTCGAGTTTTCACATAAGCTGCCTCACTCATCATAACATAGGCTAATGAATGACCCCCAGATATGCCTATAGCTGTGTTCCAAATAGTCAGCGAAATAAGTCAGGGATCTAAGTTGAAAACGATTGAAACAAACTGGGAAAATTTAAGCTGTATATATGTAGGATAAATTGATTTGGAGGGCCACATAAACAAGCGTGAAGTTTACATGGGCAAACAGTTGCCTCAGCCCTCACTTTGGAGGTGGCCCAGTGAAAATATGACTGTCAGGACCATTAGTGATAAGAAACTTCAGGCTGCACCTCACATTCTACCACATGGACACAGGGAACTGTGATGACCACTGTCACTACTGCTTATCTGACTAATTCGATATAGCTGCAAGCTCTGTCATTACTCTCTGCCTAAAACGAATTCTTCAAGAAATTTGTTTTATCCCCTCAATGTCTCCCAAACTAGAATCTATGTAAGAGGATCAGATCATTACAAACTTGGTTACCTGCCTGGATCATCATAATTTCAAGCTGCATTGAGAAAGTAGACATTTGGTACATCAGCCATATGGGAGAAAGTAAACTGCATGTTTAAACATGAGAATAGCCCCAAATAAAGGTTAGAGCTGAAAAAAATGAACAAACAGAAAAAGATGAATTTCCTCTAGAAACATACTTTTCACACTTTTGACTTCCTAGTATCCCCTTTTTTCATCTTTAGACTTAAAAACATTTCCACCTAGCATGATTTAACTTTCTAACATAATGTTACCTGACTCCAGATTATACTACACAGCTATAGTAAACAAAGCAGCATTGTATTGGCATAAAAATAGACATATAAACCAATGGAATGGAATAGAGAGAAATCCATACATCTGCAGTGAACTCATTCAAGTTCACTCATGTCAAGTGACACTTGACAAAGGTGCCAAGAACATACACTGGGGAAAGGACAGTCTCTTCAATAAATGGTGTTGGGAAAACTAGATATCCATATGCAGAATAATGAATTTAGATCTCTATCTCTTGCCATATACAAAAATCAAATCAAAATGGATTAAATATTTAAATCCAAGACTTTGAACTATGAAACTACTAAATTAAGACATTGGGGAACTCTGCAGGACATTGGACTAAGCAGATTTGTTGAGTAATACCCCACAAGCACAGACGGCCAGAGGAACAGTGGATGAATATAGCCACACCAAGTTAAAAAGCTTCTGCACAGCAAAAAATAATAATAATAATCAACAAAGTGAATAGATAATCCACAGAACGGGAGAAAACACTTGTAAACTATCCATCTGACAGGGGATTAATAACCAAAAAAATAAAAGGAGCTCCAACAACTCAATAGGAAACAACATAATAATCCAATTCAAAAAACTGGCAAAGCATCTGAATAGGCATTTCTCAAAACAAGACATATAGACGGCAAACAGGCATATTAAAAGGTGCTCAACATCATTAACCATCAGAAGACTCCAAATCAAAACGAAAATGAGATATCATCTCGCCCAAGTTAAAAATGGCTTTTATCCAAAATACAGGCAATAACAAATGCTGGTGAGTATGCAGAGAAAAGGAAACCCTTGTATACTATTAGTGGTAATGTAAATTAGTATAGCCACTATGGAGAACAGTGTGAAGGTTCTTCAAAAACTAAAATAGAACTACCATATAATCTGGCAACCCTACTGTTAAGTATATACCCAAAATAAAGAAAATCAGTATACTGAAGAGATATCTGCACTCCCATATTTATTGCAGCACTATTCACAATACCCAAGACGTGGAAGCAACCTAAGTGTCTATCAACAGAAAAATAAAAAAGAAAATGTGGCACATATGAAACTGCATTTACAAAATTATGACAGTAAGAGAAATCTGTCATAGTTAACTCCATCTTGCTTCTCATCTCCAAGCTTTCCTTGGTCATTTCTGGGCATAGGTCAAGCTGATTCTGGGAGACATTTAGTTTTAGTAGTTTAATCTTAAAGTAAGGATGCTAATAGCCCTCCCAAAGCCTTCCTTTGTAAAACCAATGAAAGGCCAGCCAGGCACAGTGGCTCACACCTGTAATCCCAGCATTTTGGGAGGCCAAGATGGGCAGATCACCTGAGGTCAGCAGTTAGAGTACCAGCCTGGCCAACATGATGAAACATCATCTCTACTAAAAATACAAAAATTATCCAGGTGTGGTGGCAGGTGCCTGTAATCCCAGCTACTCAGGAAGCTGAGGCAGGAGAATCACTTGAACCCAGGAGGAGGAGGTTGCAGCGAGCTCAAATCACGACACTGCACTCCAGCCTGGATGACAAGAACGAAACTCTCTCAAAAACAACAACAACAACAAACTAATGAAAGGCCACAAAGTTAGGATTATGAGAGGGACCTGAATTCTGCTAAGATTCAGGTAAGCAAATGACAACCAGCCATTGTTCCAGAGATCACAAGATTTGTAACTTCTTTAATTGTGCCTAATGTTAGATAATGTTAAATTTGCCTTTTAAGATATCTTTTCAGACTTTTGCATTTCAAAGACTGGCTAATATCACTTGGACTTGCGACTCATGACCCTACTGTGAGCCCCTCTCCCTACCCAGAGACTGACTCAATGCAGGAGGACTATTTTCCACACGCTAATGATTTTATCCCCAACCAATGAGTAGCACCCATTCCATAGTCCTTTGCCCACAAAGCTATTCTTGAAAACCCCTAACCTCTGAGCCTTCAGAGAGAATGATTTGAGTAATAACTTTATCTCCAATGTGGTGTTGTTAGAGTAGGCAGGTAGCCAAAAATGAGCAGGAAAGAGAGCCTGTGGGAAAAGAAGTCCTGGAGATGCTGCCCACTGACAGTCAGCAAAAAAGACAATGTATACAGTAGCTACATCTGGCCTTGTAGTTAGGTTCTTCTAGCCCTCAAGGGAACGTCTCAGGTCATAGCTGAAGATAACCATGCTAAGGATTTTCCCCACGAACAAGCATGCATGATCCTCCAAAAACTAATTGTAGTCTTTTGTTCATTATAATAGTAAAAAAGCATGCCCCTGGGTAGAGATTTTAAGCTAATGAGACTACAATATGTGTACTAGCATGCACAACCACAGAACCTGCATTCCTGAAGGGATCTCCCAAAACATGCTTGCAGGTGACACTTCCTCATGCCCCTACATGAGTGATATGTAAATTTCTCATAAAGAGAGTCCCCAGCACTAGCTGCTCCTGGCTCATTCTCTCAAGCTGTCCACTCTGTCTCATCTTTCAGAGTATACAGTCTCTTTAAATAATCACTGCTATTTTTTTCAGTGGAAACAGCGCAGAGCTGTTTCCTGCTCCTCTGTAGGATGCACTTTATTCTCCTTCAATAAACTCTGCTACTTAACCCTTGCCACACATCTCTTAGCTAAATTTTTTCTTCCAAGGTAAACAAAAACCAAGGATTTCTACACTTCCCAGGAACCCATTGACTGATTACACATACACACAATGGACTGTTAGTCAACCGTAAAAAAGAATGAAAGCCTGTCACTTGCAACAACATGGAAGGAACTTGAGGACATCATGTTAAGTGAAATAAGCCAGGCTCAGAAAAACAGACCTAGCATGTTCTCACTCATGTGGAAGCTAAAAATTTAAACTATCAACCTTATGGAGATAGAGAGTAGAATAATGGTTACCAGAAGCTGGCAAGGCTAGTATGGGGCAGTGGGGATGCTTAGTGGGTACAAAAATATAGTTAGATAGAATGAATAAGGCCTAGTATTTGATAGAAAAACAGGGTGACTACAGTCAACAATAATTGATTATATATTTTAAAATAACTAAAAGTATAATTGGAATGTTCATAAAACAAATTATAAATGCTTGTGGTGATGGATACTCCATTTACATTTACCCTAATATAATTATTAATTGTATGCCCGTATCAAAATATTTCATGTACCCAGTAAATATATACAACTAATATGTTCCTATAAAAATTAAACATAAAAAAAAGTTTAACATAATGCAACTGAAAAATACTCTTACCCTCTTCGCAAAATTGAATCAGCAGTTACATCTATCTCCAAATTCGGGATCACTCAATAATGTCATGACCTCACCCAAGAATACAAAAACCTGTTACTAATAAGCTGTGATGTGTGAGCCAAAATATAAATTTCACAACCAACAACATACTTCACATAAAAGATGAGAAATGAACAGGAAATTACCTAAAATCCATACATATAACACAACAAAAAACTAACACAAATGTTTTATTATTTATTTTCACAACTGCACACAAAATATTGTAGACCCATAACCTGGGCCAAATCCCCTTTCAGACAAAATAGAACCACTTTAAGTTCATATCTAAGGTGGTAGCTTCCTTCCCTGCCATTCTTCAGGGCTACCACTGTGTGTAGTTTAAATGTTTTTCTACTCCCTTCCTGAGCTGGTACCAACATGTACAGACATGGGTGCAAATTGAAAGTTCAACTTTTTCTCCTCTGACAACTAGTCAGAAGGAACTCCTGAGGCTTCAATGTAAGTCAGATGTAAATGCATTAGTAGTAGATATAAACCACCTGGTATTGCAATTTACTCATATTCTGAGTATGTACAGGGAATTAAGCTCCCAAAGACCACTAACATTTCATGGTGGAGCTGTCTAGGAATGTTTAACTTTAGGATTTAGTTCGGCAAATAGAGAATATCTGCATTGCCTGTTGATCTATAATATGTCCTGAATTTTGGTCTTTAATATGGGTAATAGCAATGGTAAAAAACAATTGAGCAAAAATAGCATGGCTGTGACATTATCCTAATTTACAGTCACTGCTATGATTCTGTGACAAGACTCCATATAGCATGCAGATCTGCCACAAACATTGTGACTACTTTTGAATCACCTATATTCTAAAAGCCAAGCAGCAGAGAGGCTTGTCCTATACACTGGACCACGTGTAGAACCTTCTTTTGCTAGGCCTCACCCAGGCATTCATGTCAGTTAACAGCAAGTTAAAACCACAATCCCAAATTTGTTATGTGGGGCCTCTAATATTTAACAGGCCCACTGAGGGAGGCAGTTCTATTTCAGTAGCTATTATAACATATTGCAATTTGAATTTTGCTTCAGGCTATACATATTAACATTCCCATCAACTCTAGAATCCTCATTAAGGAAATCATCTTTGGAAAACCTCAAAAGTTACTTCTCATCTTATGCTATGCATGTATAATATAAGACACCTGAGTCCCCACCTTGATCAGAAGTTTTGACTGAGACTACCAGCTAATTAATATGGTCAATAAAGGAAAATCTTTTGATAACATATTAGAATTATTTTTTTAATTTCAGATTTATTTTTTATGGGAAATCGTGTCCATGTTTTAGAAAAACCCACTGATAAAATAGTAAGAACCCCTTGAAGATACCTGAGCTAACACACTGAATCTAACATTTTTGATAAATGTACTCACTTTTAAGTTTGCTACTTCCTTGATCTAACACATCGGAATTCATTCACACAATATTCTTTACATTTTTCTGTATTTTAAATTAGCAAAATCTTATAATCTGGGGAGGGGAAATATTACTCTTTCTAACTTGGCTTATATAAATGCCTTCTTGGAACATACTGGAACCTGGAATCTGTTTCTACTTCTAGAGCAGGAGGTAGAAAACTTGATTTGAGTAAGGCTAAGGAGAATTAATTTTTCAATAGAACTGTTTCCCATAGGCATTTTGGCTTGCTTGTCCTGTGTTTATGAGAAAGCACAATAGGTCAGTTCTGCAGACATTGAAAGATCTGAAAACTGGATTAAATTGTCGACACAGGAATAAATGACAATTGCTGGAATTATCTTAGTCCCTTGTTATAACAGAATACATGAGACTCATGTACTTTTAAGAAGTTTATTTATGTAGCTTATGATTCTAGGGACTGGCAAGTCCAAGGGCATGTCAGCAGCATATCCGAAGACCATTTGTGTTGTACTTTTTCAAACATACACAAAAGCAAAAACACTTGCAAAGAAAAAACTAAAACAACAAGCTGAACTTGCTTTTAAAATAACCAGCTCTCTCAAGAGCTGACTTACTTTCATAGGAAGTAATCTACTACTCCCACAAGAACTAAATTACACCCAAGATAATGGCATTAATCTATCCAGGAAAGCTCTGCCCTCATAACCCAATCATCTTTTAAAGGGCCCACCTCTTAATACTGTTACATTGGCAATTAAGTTTCCAACACATAATCTTTTGAATCATAGTATTTTCCAACACATAATCTTTTAAATCATAGTATTCCACCCCTGACTCCCAAAATTTATGTTCTTCTCACAATGTAAAATACATTGATTCCATTTCAACAGCCCCAAAATGTCTCAATTCTTTCCAGCACAACTCAAAAGTCCAAATTCCAAAGTCTCATTGAATCAGATATGGGTGAAACCCCAAGGCATGATTCACCTTGAGGCAAATTCCTTCCAGCTGTTAGCCTATACATTTAAACAAGCTATCTACTTTTAAAATACTATGGTAGGACAGGCATAGGATAGGCAATCCGACTCCAAAAGGGAGAAATAGGTAAAAAGAAAGGAGTACAGGCTAAGTAAGTTGAAACTCCAACAGGGAAACAAGGTTTAGTCTTAAAGCCGAAAAATAATTTTCTTTGACTGCTTTTCCTGCATCCTGAGCACACTGCTCTAGTCTTCTTCTGAGTCCTCACTCAAATAGCCCTAATGTTCTGTTCATAGCATACAAATTTTCTCTAGGCTGATCCTCCAAACGTTTCCAGCCTCTACTCATTACCCAGATCCAAAGCTGCTTCCACATTTTAAGTTATCTGTGACAGCAACAACCTCAATTTTTGGTACCAATTTTCTGTTTTAGTTTGTTTTCTATTGCTATAACAGAATATCTGAGACTGTGTAATTTACAAAGAAAAGAAGTTTATTTGGCTCATGATTTTGAAGCCTGAGAAGTCCAAAGCATGGTGGTAGCATCTGGGTAGGGCTATCATATTGTGTCACAACATGGTGAAAAAGCAGAAAGACAAGCAAATGCATGTGAAAGAAACTGCAAGAACAAACCCAGGTCACTTTTATATAACAATCCACTTGCTGGAGAACTAACTCGATCCTGTGGATAATAGATTAATCCATGAATCTATCATCTTATAAAGGCCCTGTATCTTAATATGGTTACATTGACTATTAAGTTACCAACACATGAACTTTGGGAGGAGACATTCAAACCATAGCAAGGACGAAAAAGTGGGGCCAAGTAATGTTGACAGAAATGACAAACAAACAGAAAAAAACAAGCATCTTCTTTCTCCTCTAGCCTTAGCATTTTCTTAAGTGTTCTCTGCTAACACAGCCTACCTGTGAGCCAAGTGGCAAAGCGGAAAGGTGGTTTGCTGAGTGTTTAACTCTCAAAGCAAAGAACAGAAAAGTGAATTTCAAGTGGAGTGAGAATAACTGTTATTAAGTATTGACAGCACTATCATAGAATGCCCACAATTTTCAGGCCAAGTTTTGAATTTAGATTTTAAGATATCTAGCTTGTCTATTCCTTTCTTTAAGGTAAAGATTATCACTAGAAATAACCACCAAGCTCCACAATTCTTATATAGTTTATCTTTTTAATAGAGTTTCATGGCAGTAGTCCCTGTGATTCTCAAAGACCTGCCATCAATAGGCACTTTTTCTCCAGATTGTCACCAATGTTACTTTTATTAGTTGTTAAGTCTGTGCTATGAACACCCAGAGTCCTATCTCATATCACTAGCTAGAATTTCACTGTCTTCAAATCTAGCAAGACTCTATAACCAATCCAGATTTACTCTGCTAAAGTGGAAAAATATGTTTCTTAATAATATTTTTGTTAGCTCACAGAATTCCCTTAAGAGGTAGAGAATTAGGCTGAGAGGATACTTAGCCAGAAAAGGTTCTGCCACTTTCATTTCTAAGTACTAGATGTAGCTTGTGATTTAAGCTCCACTAATACTAGAGAGCCACTAACACCAATGACACTACTCTCCCTGGAAACTGCACACAACTTCTGATGCTACCATGATCCATATTTTGAACAGATCCAGAAATAACTTCTGGATCATAGCCTGGGGTAGGTGAATTTGGTTGGTGGTACCTGGAACAAACTCTC